GACTGGTCGTCACTCTCCATGATTCCATCATGAAAGAGTAATCATGAAAGTTTTTTTGGCAACGAGTAACCATGAAACACCTGAAGGGAGTACTATGTGGAGGTACTGCCATGCAGACAAGTAAAGGAGGAAACCACAAGTCAATGTCGAATATCGGCCCAGCCCAACCCCAGGAGCCTTAGAATACCACTGCACCCAGAATCGGTCCCATAACAAACACTGATAATTTGTACTCGAATGTTTTAAAGTTGGCGTCTATGGATATGACCTACAATTGGCCGTGGATTTCTTTCAATCTAGGCCGTGGCCGACGCGCCCTTATCACTCGATGTCGGAGCCAACAGTCCACGCCTTCGACCGATCAACCGCCCATTTCGTCCTTATAGTATCCTTCCGTATCCTTTCACTTTTTTCTTCGATCCCTACAAAAAGGACGAAATCAATCATGATTTTCTGGTTCATTTGGTAGTGAAAGCCTCGTGTTTTGTTGTTCAGTTGCTTACCTTTTCAACCTTTAGCTCAGTGGCTCCGAAAAAATCTGTCAGAACTCATTGACTAGTTCAATTCCTGTCGCGCACCGTAACTAGATCCCACATCCATCACTTACTACAATTTTTTGATGGAGTGTAGGAAATGTTATTTGTAACTTCTGGACTGCTTTCTACAGTAACCTGCTTTAGTTGCGACAAGTAATTCGTGTTTCCAAAGTAAATGACGCGCCAGCAAATCGTGTCTGCCGAAGGGTGGTCCAGTGAGAACCATGCGAAACTACAACTTGTAACTGTGGAAAGGGGGACACGCTGCGGTTCAAAAACTTTGCGTTCAAGTAGTAAATGTGTAGGTTTTCGTGTGAAATGTAGGAACGAATTCCAATGTTAGGTTTTCAAGTAGTGTGAGGTAAAGGTGAGATATTGAGTGTAGGTGACGGTGCCGACGCGCGATCCCTTTAATCGCGACTTGATGCGTACACAATGGAACGACCTCTATCGAAAGTAGCATTCCTTCCTTCCTTCCGATTCAAATGC